CCGATGGACAAGCGTTTCTTATTGGAAAATGACACTGGAGAGAAGCTTGGGCTAGGCTAGTCCAGCTTCTCTTTGAGCAGACAGTTCTCACACAACGAACCTACCACTGCCCCATGCTAATATATTTTCAGGTTAAGATGCAAATACTGGTGCAATTTCAAAATATGTTCTCTCTACTGCTTCACAGTGATGAACAAACCTCTCAATCCTCCATTCTGAATAAAAACCAACACACAATGAAATAGCAGAACCAACCCCCAAATAATGAAACCATTGCTTATAATGTTTAGTTACACTATCTTTGCATGTGTCCATCCCATTTCTTTATTTTTAAAACAAACATTGATGCTTTTCTCCTTCTCTTGCTCCTCCTCTCTTCTTTGGAGCTGGCTTTGAAATCCCTTTGTAGCTGAGGATGGCTTTGCGTTCCTTATCATCCTGCCTTCCTATTCCTAGCTCTGGGATTACAGATACAAACCACAATGCTTAGCTAAAAGCAAGGATTTCTTTTATTTTAGAAGGAACTATAGAATCACTAGTCTTCACAAGATTGCTGTTAACTAAGCCTCTGTTTCTTTTAGATAATGATTAAGCCAGCTTTCACTATTCTTCACTTATCAAGTAAAAAGGATAAAAGGGTAAGTATCTACTTACTCCAGATATATTACCAAATTCCCCCTTCCTCAGCCTCCAGCCCCACTTTTTCAGCTGAGTATTGCAGGATGACTGCATGTGTCATCAAAGGAAAGAGGAAATAGCTAGCCCCATGGCAGGGAGATAAGTGTTGCCAGAAGGCAAAGAAAATTATGTTTCTGAGCACAATGGGATGGTACCTGGCTCCTGTCCTGCTCTTGCTTATGAGCATAGGCACTGAAGTAGAAGAGAAACATATACCCAGGACTGAGAAGGAAGGCTCAACCATGACAAAGACGAGGCAGGCTCAGAGCTTAACTCAAAGACCATGGTTAGGGTAGAAAGGGGAGGATGACTGACACAGAGGTTGGTGGTAAGGGCAGCACAGCAAGGGCTAGGCTGAGTATGCTCAAACCTAATGTACCAATGTAGACTCCATTTTTATAGCTCTCCATGCATGTTGCAAAGTCTAGCACTGCGCATAAGGCCCCTCATGGGGGCCCACGAACCCTAAATTCTAGGATTTACACTTCCACTAACACTTTACTCCTTCTTGACCTCTGATCTTGAAAAACTCAGTGATCCTCCTCACTTGCCAAAGCAAGACTGTAATAACGGTTTGACCCCAAGGCAATCACTTGATATGGGTGACTGACCTCCAAGTAAATAAGCCACTTACACTGTGCTTTTCTAATAGGGCAAGTTTAAAACACATGCTAAGTCTTAAGACAGCTCGGGTTTTCTTTCATCCTTCATTGTTTTTGATGCCAGTTTGTTTCCATTACTGCAGTTTTAGTTGTCTTGTGGTCATGCTCATTTCCCTTTTCTTTCATTGAGTTGTCCCTTCCTCCTAACTTATTCTCAAATGTAACTATTTGTAATATATACATTTATTGTGGATACCGAGCTCAGAGGACAAACTGCAGGAGTCAGTTTTCTCCTTCCACTGTGTGAGTCCAGGGGGTTAAATTCAGGTTGCCAGGCTTACAGCTTTACTCAGGGAGCTGTCTCACCAGCTCCCTTCCTCTAAGTTTTGGCTCTATTTCATGGATATTGAAAAACAAAAACCAAACCAAAACAGAAAAACATACTGTGCCTGTCAAGATGGTAAGTAATGTTTAAGAGACCTTTGTTGCATGCTCCGAGTGTCATTTCTTGTTCCTATTATGCTATGTTTTTCCTATGGGACACCTTTTAAGGCAGCTATATGTATGACTTTCCCAGAATGCACTCTTGGCCTCATTAACTGTGGATGTGGATTTGTCGCTTCCTATTTACAGACCAACCCTAGTTTAACAGAATACAAAGATTTTCCTTTTTATGTCTTTGTAGTATTGAGGTAGATCACCACAGCTTCACAGATGAAACTGACCTTTCCTCCAAATTCACATAACTACCATACCTCTGCAAAGGAAGAAAAGAGATACTGACAGGTAGAGAATGACCCCATCTGCCTATGGCCTGTTCATTCTGCCTTCCCTTAACATCAGCAATACTCTGAGTGTAGGGATCCTGTGTAGTTACTCTTATACCTGCTATCAATTATAACAAAAGTACACTAAAATCACAATGATTTTGATTTACGTGGGCATTATTAGTAGTATTAAATACTTATCTGTATAGTCAGAAACAGAAACAACACAATAATTTGCCATTAGCGAATTGTTCATTTGTTATTTTTTCCTGTATTGATAAATGGCTTCTTTATTACCTAATGTACCAATAAATTACTATTAACTGCATACTCAGTGTTTAATATGTGCTCAGAGAAAAATTTCTGGAGCCAAAAGAACAAACTCCCTGTGGCTCTGATCTCAACAGTGTTGTCCTGACTATACCAGTTACTATTAGCATGCTGCCAAGTGTTTCTCCCTAACCCCCTTAAACCTGCTCTACAAATATAGGAATTATTGCCCCTTGTTGTATTGGCAGCAGGCTCGGCACCCACTAATTAACTAACTAAATTTGTGCATGTGAGAGTGGATATGGTATATGAGTACCAGTGTGTACAGGTGCATGCAGAGGCCAGAGGACGGTATCAAGTTCAAGTCTCCAGCTCTATCACTCTCTGTCTTATTCCTTGAGGGGGGAGTCTCCCTGAACCTGCAGGCAGGCTGGTAGAAAGCAGGCATGAGGGCTCTCTCTGTCTCTATGTCCTACAGTTCAGAAGTTGTAACCTTGCCTATGGCATGGCTTTTCTTTTTTCTTTTTTTCCAAAATATCTTGATGCTGTGGATTTCAACTCCTGATCCTTAATCTTTTATTTTGTTGCAATGAATGTGGACAATAAATATTTTTGGAAGGAATTACCGAGCTATAGGCCTGGCACACCGATAAAGCATGCAGTACTAATGTGGGCTCTACCCAGCATATGAGTTAGGGAAATACAGTGCAGAGTCAGGCAGAAGGATAGAACATAATTACACAAGAATTTCAGGGATGGGCAGGTTTGTTCTGATGTTATTCAAAACTGAACTGAAGAGAGGACATGTTGGGCATTTAGTGAGAAGCGCCTTCCTTCCATCCTCTCTATGTCCTCTTTTATCCTTGCACTGGTATGGTGCAACCTCCTATAATGACAGCCATTACATGCTGAGCCCAACCAAGGACAGTTACAGAGGGAAAGTGCTCTTAGGAAACATCAACAACACAAGAGGTGTGTTTATAGGACAGTAAAACTCTTGCAAAAGCAAGTACACCAGAATTGATGGATATCACTGGGCCTGTGCTTCCCTGTGAGGAGATCCTTGTGCTGAGCACATGCTTACTCATCTAATGCAATGGGAACCCTCAATGGGAACACACCACTGACTCCTGGATGTACTCTGAGAACACTCCACTGACTCCTGGATGTACTCTGCAATTGGCCAGATTCTACTGCTGCTTATTCTCAGGTCTTCAGATGCCAGGATTGACTTTAAGAAACAGATGAAAAAAAAAAAATCACCATGAACTATGATGTCAGACAGTATGCCAAATGTTGGTAAGGTCAGTGCTGCCAGACTGTGTCACTTCAGTGCCATGATTGGTTTACCATGTGGCCTGGCTCTGTTATAGAGCAATGTTAGGAACTGGTAAAACAAAATCTTGAACATCTTTAACTTGGCTTTAGGCATTTGTCTCCTCGTGTTAAGACTTTAATATTCTTTTTTACTTATATACCTTGTGTTCCTTCTGACCTATAAGTTTGCACATGTTGATTATCAGAAAGCAAAGAGTGTAGCTGTACCCTCCTTGGGTATTCCTCCTCTGCCTGCACAGGCAAATGCAGAGACCCAGCTCACTGTTTATTTCATAGACATGCTTCATGGGTTCCAGACAAACATACTCTTGACATACCCAGTTTCTTGTGTTTTCATGATTTTCTTTTATGAACAGAAGGGGATTATGTGGTCAACTATGTAATAAAAAATGAGATTCTGAACTTCATGCTGGTATCATAAAACTACTTAAAACAATCTTAATGAACCTATCCACAAACCTTAAATTCTGAATTCTTGAAGCCAGTAGGCATGATCATTGCTAGCTCTGCCTCCTGAACACAGGTGGCATTTGCCCACCGCCTCCCTTCTCACTTCCCATTTTGACTTTCCTTATACTCCATTTCCTAGAGTTGGCATTCATGGCTTCTTATCTAGCCTCTTAGAATTGTAAGTTACTCTTCATCTCTAGATTTAACTTGTTTTTCATCTATCTCCCAGCCTGGCTCTCACTGTTCTCAATGGCCAGACTTCTGACAGCCACCCGATCCTGCCTGGCTTCTGAGGTAGGTGTGAGCTTGCCCATCAAGTTCCTCCTGGGCTCTCCCGGAGAGCTAACAATCTCAATAGTGCCAGCAGTCTTAAAGATCCTTAAGGGTTAACTCCATCCCCAAATATGCTATTAATTACATTTTAAATTAATGTTTAACCTGAAATTATGAAAATTTGCTGTAGGCTCTGAAGAGCGATGGCTTCCAGGCTAGCCAATATGCAGCTATGGCAAGTGGGACCATGAGTAGTAATATTTACCACTGAGGTACCAGGTGGCCCTGAGACAGAGATGGAAAACATGACAACAAATCAATGTAAATGCAAATGTGACATAGGCAGGACTTTCAGGCACCAGGGCATAAAGAGGCAGCAGCAGCTGAACACAGGAAATATTACTTTGAATGTTCTGGAAGTTGGCTCAGAAACAACAATGGCCAACAGATCTTCCCTGGGAGCAGCAGCAACCTGACTATAAAGACAACTGAGAAAAACCAGTGCCTCTTGGCCCATTTTTCTTACTGTTCCCTCTTTTCCTTTCTCCTCACTTTGTTTCTTCCAAACTTTGCAACCCTTTGGCTGGCCTTCACCTTCGTGCAGGGACTGGCTTTCACTTACCATGCCCTTTAGAGTCAGATCTGCTAAGGGAGATCGGTTGCCATGGAAATCTGGCCAAACATGTAAATCAACAGTGAGGAAACCCACAGGCTGAGCCTTCTTAATCAGATCCAGGTGACTGTTCAAATATGCATATATACTCTGGCATCTGGAAGAGAAGTGGATTTTGATTTTAAAGGGGAATAGGGTTGAAGAGCAAATTATTCTGCAGAAAGAAACCATTTGCACTTCCATGTCAGACCCAGGAAAGAAACAGGCTCCCAAAGCTTCAGCAAATCAGCTACTCTAGCAAGAAACTAGCCAGTGCACTCTCACATTCCATTGTCCTCGCCACACCAGGGAAGGGGAAAGGCTTGGAGTCAGGAGACCTGGTCAGACACTGGCTTCACTCCTGGTAGCTGTGTGAGCATGAGACAGTTAATCAAAGTTCTGGAATTGCCCTCTTCTCATCTGTAGAAGCATCTCACAATCTTTGTCCAACTTACCTCATAGGGTTATTATGAAGATCAAAGACCATGTATTCAAACATTCTGTAAACTGTAGTATAATATGGCACATATGCAAAGGATTTAATAAAATCTGTCTGCCTAATTATAGTAATGACCTGACAAACAGCGATAAATATATGTTCCTGGATTCAATGAATGAGGATCATATACACAGTTAGGATCTAGATTTCGACATGTGATTCCAAACCATGACCATGAAATGCTGTTGTGAAGGCCTTCCCCCTTTTTGTGTTTTAGTTGATTGATGTGTAAAATGATGGAATTAGGACAACCCCCTCAGTAATTGACATTATTCAGGTCAAAAGATGATGGCCTTAGGAGTGAAGACAATGCTAATTTCAGATCTTGCTATTTGTCCTGGTTAGGTAGCATGCTTTAGCCTCTATGAACTTGTATTTCCCCATTCATACATACTCACAACAATACTTAATTCTCTGAGCTAAGTCTTACTTCATAATACAGAAACAACAGTCCATTAGCTGGGGATCTTTGGAAATTGTTGCCTTCCAAAGTTCTGACCAATGATCCCAAAGGTGGAGCAGAGGTTGGTCTCTCTCATGTTTGTGGTGTCTTTGGGACTACAGTCTTTTTTTTTTTTTTAAAGTCAATCCCTCCTTTTTTCTTTCTTTTTTTTTGGTGATTTTTTTTTAAATTTAAATTAGAAACAAGCTTGTTTTACATGTCAATCCCAGTTCTCTCCCCTATTCCCATTTCTGCTCCCCAGGGATGTTGAGGCCTTCCATGGGGAATCTTCAAAGTCTGTCATCATTTGGAGCAGGGCCTAGGCCCTCCTCCATGTGGTGTGTCTAGGCTGAGAGAGTATCCCTTTATGTGGAATGGGCTCCCAAAGTCTATTTGTATACTAGGGATAAATACTGATCCACTACCAGAGGCCCCATAGATTGCTCAGGCCTCCTAGATGACACCCACTTTAAGGGGGTCTGGATCAGTCCCATACTGGTTTCCCAGCTATTAGTATGGGGTCCATGTGCCCCCTTGTTCAGATCAGCTGTTTCTGTGGGTTTCTCTAGCCTAGTCTTGACCCCTTTGTTGGTCACTCCTCCCTCTCTGCAACTGGATTCCAGGAGTTCAGCTCAGTGTTTAGCTGTGGGTGTCTGCTTCTGCTTCCATCAGTTACTGGATAAGGGACTATGGTCTTTTGTTTTTTCTTTTCTTTTCTTTTCTTTTTTTTTTTTTGGTGTTTCAAGACAGAGTTTCTCTGTGTAGCTTTGAAGCCTATCCTGGCACTCGCTCTGAAGACCAGGCTGTCCTCGAACTCACAGAGATCCGACTGCCTCTGCCTCCCAAATGCTGGGATTAAAGGTGTGCACCACCAACGCCTGTCGAGGGACTACAGTCTTAAAGATTAAGAACATCATAGAGATAAAACATGGGGATTGTCCAAGAGAAATTAGCATCTAGAATACTTCTGTCAATATTTGTGATTTGCATTTCAAAAATGCTTTAGAATAACAGTGATTTCTAGTTTTTCTAGATTTCCAGTTTGGGTTTTGCAATGCCAAGGGTGGGATACCACAAAGTTTTTGTAGATTTCTGAAAGAATCATAAAAAACTTTCTTCCTTCCTTCCTTCCTCTCTCTCTCTCTCTCTCTCTCTCTCTCTCTCTCTCTCTCTCCCTTTTTATCAGTGACAACTTTCCCCCATGCTTGAGATCAAACCCAGGGTCTTGTGAATGCTAACTAAACACTTTACCACTGATCTGTAAACCCAGGCCTAGTGAAATTCTTTTAGTAAGTGAAAATTTTATATGGAACTCCAATGAAGAAAATGTAGAAAACCAAAACAGCTTGATATGTGCACACCTGAGTATACAACTTGATGAATTTCTGTTTAAAACATCAACAGAGTAGAGGGATACCTGCTGCCCAGTGAATGAGCTCTTTGCTGCAACCCTCTTGGCCTCTGCAATCTATTGTTCCTTTAGTTCTGGCAGGAGGAATACAATATTAATGGAAAAACTCAACCACAATTGGGGTAGCAACTGTCATTCTTGGAGCATGCACCAAGCTTCCACTGTGGTCCAGGGAGTATGCATCACTGAGACCTTTACAGAAGGAATCCTTAGTGGCAGAATAATTGCACAAAGTTCACATGAAACACTTCTGTGGGGCTGATGATGAAGTCATGAGCTTTCTGTATCTCAGCTCAGATACTTCTTGTTAAATTCTGCCCCACCACCAAGACCCTATTTCAGTTTTAGGACAGGGCCCTCTGAGGCATCCACCGAAGTGAAGGCCTGAACACATACATATGGTCATATCCTAGCTTTCCATCTCCAAACTCTCCATAGTATGACCCAACAGGAACCATATTTACAAAAAAAAAAAAAAAAGCCTCAGGAACAACCTTTCTCATCGGAAGCCAAGAGTCTCTACTATCCATAACCACTCTCCCTTTGGAAGGGTATTGCAGCTCCTAGTGTATAGAAATTATACATATGTTGTGTGTGTGTGTGTGTGTGTGTGTGTGTGTGTGTGTGTGTGTGTGTGTGTGTGTGTGTGTGTGTGTGTGTATACCCATAAATCTTCTCATTCTGCCTTTCAAGGAATCTCAGAGTGGGCGTTTGGCTTCAGACATTTGGGTCAATAAGAATCTATATGCCTAATTACTATTGATTTGTCATTGTCTCATTTACTGAGGGTCTTTGCAAACAGTGAGATTCATTTAGCCTGCACATATATGGCCACTCATACACTAATGAGATCCCTGGGGGGTGGGGCATATGCTTACCCCTCTGACTCCTAACCTCCTTGCAGCTGTGTGTTTACTCTTTGAGTGCAGCCCTTCCCCTACATGCTTTTTCAATTATACTTTACCATGTGTGCTATCTGAGTATATCATTCAAAATGAAGTGCACTTGGAAGACATTAAAATAACTAATGCACATCATCATTCACATAATTTTAACCTTGCATGATGCTGGTTTTGGTTTTGACATTGTTTCATTTCGTATGTTTTATCAATTCTTTCTCAACTGGTCGTCCGCTCTCTTGCAAGCAGAGTAACTGTGATCTCAACTGGATTGTTCTCTTTCCTACTCATGAACGCCAGGCTCATGTGTCCTGTCTCAGAGAGTCCCATTAAGGATGACAAAGAAAATAGAATTTCAACAATCATAAAGTAATTTTATTGGTGAGCAGGTACACTAAACCTAAACCTTGCTGAGCCCAGGGCATGCCTTTGCAATGGGAGTCAGTAATCTCTATCTGGCAGGATGCTAGAAGATTCCATGCAGAACCATGAGCACTATGAAATGACAGGTGATTAACGAATAGTTTGTTCTCTTTTGCCATCACAGTATCTTAATTCAGGTTGCATTGCTCATAATCTTAAATGCAGACAGTACTCTCTCTCACCCCAAATCAACTCATTCTTCAGGTTCGCAGGCTGCCCTTCATCATTTAGTCTCTTCCTCCAGTCCCCAGAACACTTTATTTTTTATTTTTCTAACCCCTCTCCAGCTCAATCTCCTCTTCTGCTAGTCCCTTAAACATGTAAGATGTTTACATGTAAGAAGTTCTTCCAGAGACATGCTTTGGGTACCTTCTTCCTTGTTTATTATGACTATATTCAGAAGGCAAAATAGGAATGTATGGTATATCAATCATTAGTAATAATATAATAATAAAAATAACACCAACAAGGAAATCATGGGAAGAAGCAACCATGCTGTCAGTATCCAGGTCCTTATTTCTCATGCATTTGTTCTTGCCATTCTACTGAAACTCAATATCCTTTGACCCCTTCTTCATCATTTGTTCTCTTCCTTCAGTCCCCAGAACACCCTCTCTCTATATATATTTTTTTATTTTACCAACTCCTCTTTGGCTCATTCTCCTCTTTGCCTAGTCCTTTACCATATCTAAGTTCTTCCAGAGACCCGCCTTTGGTACCTTTTTACTTGATTTATTCATTTACATCACTGTATCCTTTTATTACTCCCATTATCATCTAGTGCTGATATAGACCAAATATATATCCTCATCTCCTGTGCATTATGGTCCCATGATTTCCAGGTTCAGTAATCTGCCACCCATCAACTGCTTCTAAAATATCCAAAGACAACTCTAGGAGGGATATCTAATGTAACAAACACCATCCTTCCTGATACACATGTTTTTTTTTTTCCTTTTCTTTTTTGGCTCTTAGCTTTAATTGTTATGCCCAGATTTCAGAGTCCCCCAAAAACCAACAAGGAGACTGAGTCCTGTACGTAAAAGCAAAGAGCCTTTGTTAAAGTTCTAACTCAGACTCTCTGTGCGTTGGTAGGATCAGAGAGCCTGGAGCTCAGTTGGGGTAGGGTTTTTATCATAGCAGAAGTTGGGGTGAGGGAATTCTAAGGTTCAGCATCCCTGATTGGCTGACATTTGTCCAGGGGTGTCTTGGTGAAAGGGATGGGTGTGTGTCATTTGCAATGGTTGGAACATTAGGAATTTCCCTTGGCATCTTCATGTACCCTCATCAGTGGACTCTGTAACTGAATCTAGACATTTCATAGCAGAGGAACAATGAATTTGAAGAAATTGATTCTCGGTGGGATATGGGCTTGAGGAACCCATGTGATTAAGAAAATTGAGTTGTGCTAAATGAAACACCAGAAAAGCTAGGGAAAGTTGTTGAAAAGACAGACAGGTCTTTTAAAAAAAGAGTTAGCAGAACAAAGATAACCCTGAAGGACCTGCCACCAATTGGCTCCTCACAATGACCTCTGCCAAAGACATTCCAAACACTGGCACTCTGCTCAGTTTCTCCAGTCAGTTCTGAGTTTCCTGAGGACCTCACTTTCTTAAGCTTCCTTTGATCTGGAACCCCTTACCAATGCTCCAGTCTGTCTGTTGGCAAGAGCAGCCAGGGTAACCTTTTTAAAAGGCAAATCTCATCATATGTCTCCTCTGCCTAAAAACTGCAGACATTGGGGCTGGAGTGTGGCTCAATGCTCACTATGTATTTTGTAGGTACAAGGCTTGGGTTCAAGTTCTAGAACCCCAAGATCAAAACCAAAAAAATAAACCTGTAAATAAGATCCAGTGTCCTTTCATTGATCTAGGGTGACAGGCATGGTGTGTGGCCACTGACAACTTCCATCTCAAACCTGACACCCTCCCTCCCACTGTGTCCAGCTACAAGGCTTTCCAGTGTTTTCTTAGCCCTGCCTGCAAGCTGGCTGCTGCATAAGACCTTGAAACTTGCTGCTAGTCTTTCTATTTGGAGGGACTATTCTCTTAGCATCACAGCTTTTTTTCTGTCACTTCACTGAAGATCCCATGCGAGAATTACTGCTGCAAGGACAGTGTCTCCTGTTGTCCCAGTATCCTTTGCTCTATATTTCCCGAGTTACCACAAATGTTTTCACTTAGAAATTATCAATTTCAGACTACATGTTTGTGCATTTGTTATAATATATGTAAATGCATATGTGCATATATATTATATATATATATATATAATTTCTACAAAAGCAAGTTTTGTTTCTTCCCTGTTTATCATAAATGTTCACAATATATGTTAGACCGACAGACATAACCTTGGTTCAGGTGGAAACCTTGATATATCATGTCAACATCATCTACTCAAAGATCTGCTGTAATCCTAACTTCACTCTGAGACATTTTTAGTTTAGCTTCTATAAGAAAAATCAGGACAAAGGGAAAAAGAGCTGAAACTGCAATGGACAGTAAGCAATCTTTGTCTACAGGGTGAAATACCTGGATATCTGGCTCCATATTGAGAAAGATGATGGTTGCCAGGTACATGCATAAGAACATGGGGTTCGTTTACTTAATTTATAAGCTCACAAGACATTTCTATTCAGAGATGGGGCCTAAAGGGATTATGGTAGATCAAGAGAATCTGTTTATTTTACATTTGTTTATCTATACTTGTTCCCAGAATTTCAAACAGGATTTGCTGAAGCTAAGCTACGAGGGGAGGTGATGAGCATTAGTGTCTTCAGAAGGCCCCAAGTAACAGCTTATGAGTTTTCCTCCTTTCTGAAAAGTCAACTTTATTTTACCAGAGTTCTAAGATCAGAAATATGAGAATGTTGTACCAAATAGATCTGGTATGATAAAAATGAAAGAAATAGGAAGGTGGAAGAAAATTTTATTCAATAAATATGTATGAGAGTAATCAAAATAGAGAAAAAAAAGTCAAGAGCATAGTTGGGATTTCTTTGGAAGAGACAGCAAAACAGTAAGATTGCCAGAGGACTATCTGTGATGAATGCTAATGTGTGTGTGTGGGGGGGGCCCATGAACTTGGAAAGGAAGAAGAGTCAGAAATGCAAGAAACAAGGATAGACAAAATCTTGGAATGTTAGGTACAGGCATGGCAAAGGGAGAAAGTGGTCTCGGCTGTGGCGAATGTAAGAAGAGAGTCTGTTATGCATCTTGTGGATTTAGCAAAACTTAAGTCACCTAAAATATGTTAATGTCAAAAGTGTCAGAGAGTTAAATGTGACAAAATTCAAACTAGAGTAGGCAAAGAGGGAGAGAAAAACGACTAAATGCAGACCCAGAGTATGAGCAAAGTGTTGGAGAGGTTCAGCTGTAAAGAGAAGGAAGAGCAGGGAGGTAGGTAGACATTGTATGTGGTCATCAAGACTGAGGTCCAGGTCTCGCTCTAGGCTGAATTCTATGAATGACTGCTTCTGGACTACTGGCTGATGCTGAGGCTCCAAGACTGCATTCTGCCTACAATGTTTTCCTTTTCTATTTGCAGCATAAACTGAAATGGGGTTCTTCTATAGAAGAATGTTACAGAAGTTATGCTTCATTGCAAAATCTAATTATTCTGTAATTTTATATCGAGCATTAAATATTTACATATTGATATCCTTGAGGTCTGATTCAATAGTACAACACCTGGAAGTAAATTAAGCATGTCAGTACTGTTGTGGTTTCATGAGATCATAATAGAGTATGTCATGGAAAGACATTTGTGGCTGAATTGGCCTAAGGACCACTATCTTTTTTCAAGATTTTTGGTTGTTTGTTTTTTGCTTTTTTTTTTTTCCTTTTTGAGATGGTTTCTCTGTGTAACTGCCCTGTCTGTCCTGGAACTCACTTTGTAGACCAGGCTGGCCTCCAACTCACAGAGATCTGCCTGCTTCTAGGATTAAAGGTGTGCGCCACCACTGCCTGGCAGGACTACTATTTTTAATCCCATGTTTAGTGTTCTTGCAATCCCCCGCACCTGTCATGAGAAAGTAAACTGCTTACTGGCATGTGGAAATGACTGCCACTGAACGTCTTCCACCTATCTCTGCCTCCTGAGTTCTGGAAGAAGTGCACCACCAACAGCCGACCAATGAATAACTTCTAATGTTTAACCTACAAACATTTGAACTTTGAGTGCCTGTTTGTTTATTAGTTTTGAGACAAGGGTCTTTTGCCATAAGTTAGACTGGTTTGCAACTCATGGTAGTCCTCCTGCCTCTGCCTAAGTACTAGGATAGCAACAGGGAATTACTGAACCAATGCTGGCATGTGAAGTTTGACCATCTGTGCATATCACTCTTCTAACCTTCCTTTCATTAGCTGTAATAATCTTCGCTCCATTATCACTGTGCACTTAGTTGTATGCTCAATTAGAGTATACTCTATACATATATTCAGAATAGGTAACACATATACATGAAAAGCAAAGGAAAATGGATGGAACTCGAAGAAACCATTCTGAGTGAGGTAACCCAATCACAAAAAGACAAACATGATTATGTACTTACTCATATGTGGACCTGCTTTATGATACATAGTAGTGACCATGCTTTACCAGAGCTGTTTTTAATGATGTTGCTCAGAATGGTTTCCTCCCAGATGATGACTGAGAAGCTAAGTTAAAAAAAATGGTGCCAAGTACCACAAGAGTAACAGAACTGTGTTGTTTTCTGGGACTTTGTTTTTTACTTTGTTGTTGTTGTTGTTGTTGTTTGTTTTCTGTTTTTTGTTTTTTTAAATGGAGTGTGCTGGATGTCTCTACAATTTTGTTCAAATGACTGCATAACCTGGAAAATCTGTTGCTGCTATTGATGCATAACATATTGCTATTATTGCTCTTTTTATATAAATATATATAGCATATATTTATATGCTAATTGAAATTCAAATATGTGATGAATCCAAGGTGTTTCAGTGAGTGCTCACCTGTGCATCAAATTTGATTTCATCTTTAGTAAGTAGTAAAGTTATATGCTTGCCAAAAAAAAAAAAGTGACACACTGGAAGACAAATGTCACATAATTTCAATTTTATGTGTAGCCTAGAAATGATGAACTTATGGGAACAGAAAGCAGAATTGTGGCTATTAGGCTTCAGTGTGGGTCTTTTAACAATGGGGAAACGATTGGTTTAAGGATATAAAACTGCAGTTGGACAAGAGGCATAAACTCTGTGAATTCCTGAGGTCTACTGAGAGCATGATAAATATGGTTGATAACAATATGCTATATTTTAAAAGTTGTGAGATAGTATACTTTAAGTGTTATCAAAACAAAAATGATGAATATGTGTGATATAACATGTTAATTAGTTTAATTTAGCCATATCATTGTGAACATACTGTATTGTGTATCATAATTGTGAATGACTTTATTTATGAGCTAAATAAATGAATGGAAGTAAAAAAAGCAAACTTAGAAATTAGAAACATAATGTTTATGTAATTGTTTCTAATTTAGCTATTGCATAATACTGTCAAAATATTCTTTGTCAAGAATTACCTTGGTCATTTATTTCCTTGACCCTTTTTAGTAGTATAGGTAAGCTATTCCTTTGTAATATAGAAGGCATGGTTTTACTATTTATATTTTGTTTTGTTCACTCTGCCATAAGTACACATCCTACTGTCTGTCTATCTATCTACCTATTGATCTTCCATCTATCATATATCTGTATATCTAATCAACTATCTATCAACTACCTATCATCTACATTTCCTTCTTCTAAACATGGTTCTGTGAGAGAGATTTATATAAAAACATATATCCAGAGGTTTTCTCTTTTTACCATCCTGGTTGCAATCCCATTTTTTCCATTCCCTTCCTATACACTCTGTATGAGCAACCGATATTGTTGTTTTCTAACTTAATTTTCCTACAGTTCTTTTGCACAAATAAGTAGGCACACACATATTTTCTTGTACTCCTTTGCACTCAATTTTACTTGATATATCACAGAAGTCACTGTGTATTAGTTACTATTTTTATATTCACAGACGAAGTTGAGGTTGAATCACTTGTTCAAGACCACACATCTGCAAAGGTGTAAAGCAGGGGTGTACACCCAAGAAGTTATGACTCCCAAATCCATGCATGTGCTCGGTCATCTCCACCAGGGTTGCTCATCCACACAATCTCTGTGTGGGAGCAGTTTCTCTGATTTTTCTTAGATTATTCTAAAACAAACTTAACGAATGTATTTTCTAAGCCATCTGGATGATCATCTTAAGTACTGCCAAACATTCACATTGTTCATAAGCTCTGAAAATCGTACAACTTCTGAAAATGAATGTTGCTTATACATCCACATAGAAAGGCCACAGGTGGAACAGTTGGAGGAGTTACCTGGCTGTGGCCTTGGCTTGTAGTTCAGGAAAAGCAGCATGGCTCTGCACCATATGGTCTATCTAAAAGACACAAAAGAGGTAGGTCAATTTCACAGTGCCTCTATCATTAATGTACACACACACACACACACACACACACACACACACACACACACACACACACATATCCCTGGTTTGCTCAAGTCTTTGTCCACAGAGACTCTAAGGACATAAAAAAAAAAGTCAGTTCTATACAGATATATCAATTCTTCCAGAAATTTAGGGTTTTTTTTAATGCAAGGTGCTTTGATTTATTAAGCAAAATTTAGAAAGAAGAATAACAGCAGATGGGACGCTTAATGCTGAGCTAGCAGTAGTAGGTAGCAATGGCCCTAGAACAAAGAGAGAAGAGATGGGTCAGTTAAGTGGGTAAGGTATACATACGTATCTTGGTTGTTGAAAATACTGTCTCTTGGTCACTTCATTTCTCTCTCCTAATATATGCTGCCACCTCTAAGCAGCTGACAACCTACTGTGCCTTACTAAAGCAGTCTTTGACACAGGGCATGTGTGACAGTATAATGACCAAGTCCCAGCTACGCACAGCTGAGGTGCCCTGGACCTGCCAAAAGACCGCCGCTGCCAGCGCCCCCCCCACCCCAAACTGAAAATTGTCACAGGGGAAAGCAGAACAACTCTGCAAGGACAGGAATGTCTGAACTGCACAGATCTTATCTGGAATACTATGTCTAGGATTTAATTCCTAATCCTGCTGGTAGCTCTAAACAAAACATGTAATATGCCTGGGAACATTAATGCTTCTCAACACTTTTCTCTGCCTGCTAACTAATCTGTATATTTCTGAATGTTTACTTCAGTCTCCAGGAGTCTAAAACAACCATTTGGAAGGAATTATTTTCATTCAGTCTTGAACAGACTATTTTGGCCCCATGGAAATTGGCTGAGTGTTTTTCTTAAGAACTAGGGTTGTGAACAAAGGAAGTAAATTTATTTTGGAGACAGGGAGGCCAGGCTCTGGTTCTGCTTCTCACCATCTTTGTGACTTAGAATCACTCACTAAGCAGCTCTGAACTCCAATGGCTTTGTTTTAAACAGGATTCCTAGGAAGAGAAGAGTGTCTGCCGTAATGCCAACAGTAACATAACTGTGACCTAACATTTTTCGACTCATTTACTTACATCAACACCAACTTAAGAATTATACACATTAATTTTTCTACTACTTACAGAGCTCCAATGGAGATGCTGCTTTCTGTTAAGCAGAGTAGAAAACTGGGCCTCAGAGACTTCAGTTAGGTAACTTGTTTTAGGTCACAGGGATTAGGTCCACAGACCCAGGCCTCAAACTGTGGTTTCTAACATCTAATGTTCTGGTTGACAACTGCTAGGCTATATGGTCTAATAAACTTCTAGGTTGAATGTAAGTTAGTAAATTCTACTGGGAACAATTTTGTGGAAATGTTTCAAAATAATACTAAAGCTGCTGGTCATTTCAATTAAAAAAAAAATGAAGTTTTGAAGTATGTACTTCCTCTTGGTTCAACTTTGGGTCACTGTAGTAAAACATATCCTAGAGCCTCAAGAAAAAAAAATTCACAATTCTCCTAAAGAATAGGGATGATCTATTAGTATATTAACAGATAAGGCAAATCTCTACATTTGATGCTAATTTTTATGGGAAGCATATTAAGAGTTCACAAAACAAATATTTAAATAAACTTCCAGAAAGACATAGAAGTTCTCATATGAATGAGAGCTATTTAATAGTGTTTATTGAATACTGAATGTACTAGGAAATGTGCTTAGATTATGATGATGCAGTGAAACATATGTACAACATACACAAAAGTACAATAGTCCATGTACTGAGCTACCTACCAAGCCCTTGTTTTTTGTTTATTTGTTTATTTTTTGTGATAGGGTCTCATTAATAAGCCTACACTAGACTTAGTCTCACAATGTTCCTACGTTAGTGCCTGTGTGTGTGGAGGGATGTAATGATTAGAGTCATGTATACCCTGACAGTAATTTTTTCCAATTTACCTATTTTAGTTCTTTATTTTTTTTTTTTTTTTTTTTTTTTTTTTTTTTTTTTTGGTTTTCAAGACAGTGTTTCTGTGTATAGTCCTGGCTGTCCTGGAACTTACTCTGTAGACCAGGTAAGCCTCAAACTCAGAAATCTTCCTGCCTCTGTCTCCTGAGTGCTGGGATTAAGGGCATGAACCACCACTTTCTGGTCTTACCTAGTCTTCTTATCCAGAAGGGAAAAAGCAAAAACTTGGCTTTACTCCAACCTAAAATTCTCATGAAAATGGGATACAGGTGGCTGAGGAGGGAAGGAAAATCAATTTTCTCCAGGGATGGATTAGCCAATTATAATTGGTTAGACCTAAACCCATGTATACATAAGCAACACTAATTTGCTTCAATAGTGTGTGTGTGTGTGTGTGAGAGAGAGAGAGAGAGAGAGAGAGAGAGACAGAGACAGAGACAGAGACAGAGACTGAGAGACAGAGAGAGACACACAGAGAGACACAGAGAGAATAATACAGAAGAAGAAGTCATTAATTATTATGGGGAGGTATGGAAAGAGTTGGAGGAGGAGGAAGGAGGAAGAGTGGGGATGAGGTAAATAGTGCATTCATGCAGGAAATTCTAAATAGAAGAAGAAAACTAAAAGACAACATCCTGCTGGAAGGAACTGCAGATTCAACATAATAGTCCCCTGGAAGGTATAAACGTCACTGAAAGATGATGCTAACTACATTTTGTTTTTTCACAACTTTAATATTAGCTTTATATAGAACAATGTTCTCTAGTAAGTGGATAAATTCTGATTTAATTCAAAGTAGTTAGTTAGTTCCCTCACCAGCAAAACTGGAGCCTTATGTATTTTTAGTTGTTAATTAGCTCATTTATTTGTGAAACTAACATCTGATATATGGTTATTTTGTGCTGTTTATCATTTTAAGAGCAGGATACAAAGATAAATAAAAGTAATTTTCTTACAAAGGGAGGGAGACATTATGTCAAAATTCAAATATAGTCTACAGTCCTAATGGTTTTCACAGATTCTACCAATGTTAACTGAGTATTTGGAGCATAGTGTAACCCCTAGAGAGATAAAATTTCTTTTCTCGGTAAAGTGGTCTCCATAGAAAGATATTAGTCAACACTGGAGGCTTCTTCTCCCAGGAAAACCACTGCCCATGCTGGAGAGGGAATCAGGTAAGCAATCTTCACTTTCCTTCCAGTTCCCCAGTCTCATCCCCACCTTTGTAGCAGATTGAGTGCTGTGGCCTCTCCTTTGTTTCTGGCCCTATTGCCAAGAGACTACAAAGATCTTTTCCTATCCCCCTCACCTCATTCCTTTCAACAGTCAGGTCATAACACCTGAACGCACTCTCTCTCTGGACACCCAGTGGCCTGGGCATCAGGTAAGAGATCTTAACTGTTCTTCCTGTCCTCCTTTTCTAATTCCCTAGTCAAATCCCCAGCATTATAGCAGAACACCTGAAGCAGGCTGTCTTCTCCTCTTCCCCCATTCCCTGAAGACTCCACAGATGCTCATGGCATACCCAACTTTCCTCCCTCATATGGACCCTCTCAGTGCCCCTCCTCTTATCCCCACTCCTTCCCTTCAGCTCCCAATACCTAGAAATACCTTCTACCTGGGAAGCCAACTAGTCACATATGGCAGGGACATAGAAGCACTCCCTACTTAGCAACCCATATCTGATAGACTCTCTTAACATCAAAAGAGGGCAACTGAAACCAAGGAAGGGAAAACCTACCCAACAAGACATCAACAATGAGAACTGCAATACCATCCCAACCAGGCACCAGCATAAAAACACAGTTAACAACCATGACACAATGTATCCACTGAAATCTAGCAATGCTAACACATAGGCCCTGAGAAATGGAATATAGCTGAAGGATAAGACAAGGACCTCAAAACATCTATTATGAATGTGTTCAATTACCTCAAAGAAAATGAAGAAAACAGTTAAAAACATAAAAGAGTGGAAATAGAATCCCTGAAGAAAACCCAAATTGAGGTAAAACTAGAAATAAAAATGTTAAATCAAAAACAAACAAACCAACCAAAACCTGGGGTAAAACATCCAGAAAATCTGGGGCATGATGAAAAGTCCAAACCTAAAAATAATAAAATAGATGCCTAAGGAAAATAAGGGGAAGAACTCCAGGTCAAAGGCACAGAGATATTTTCAACAATAGCATAGAAGAAAATATCTATAACCTAAAAAAGGAGATGTTTATTAACTATTCAAAACGCCACATAGATTGGACCAGAAAAGGAAGTCCCCTCAACACATAATATCAAAACACTAACATACAGAACAAAGTAAGAATATTAAAAGCTACAAGGGAAAAAGACCAAGTAACATGTAAAGGCAGACCTATTAGGATCACACTTGACTTTTTAATGTGGACTCTAAAAGCCATTGGGGCCTAGACCAGATGTCCAAAAAACTATAAGAGATCATAGATACCAGCCCAGACTACTAGATACTCAACAAAACTTTCAATCACAATAGATGGAAAAAATAAGTTATTCCATGATAAAGTCAAATTTAAGGAGTAGCTACCTAACAATTCAGCTCTATAGAAGGTGCTAGAAGGAAATCTTCAACCTAAAGAAGTAAAAAGAGATAAACCACACCCAAGAAAATGCAAAGAATAAATAATCCCAGACCAGCAAATGAAAAGAAAGGGAAAAGACACACCACCACAACAAAATAACAGGAGAAAACAAACACTGTTCATTGATAACTCTCAACATCAATGGTCTCAATTTCCTAATAAAAATACACAGAGTATGTGCCCTTTGGGAGTATTACTTAGTGGGAAAAAAAAAAAAAAAAAAAAAAAAAAAAAACGATGACAGCTTGAAATTTTCATGCAAATGGATGGAACTAGAAACAACCATCCTGAGTAAGGTAACTCAGACCCAGAAAGTCAAACACAGTGTGCACTTACTCATAAGTGAATATTAGATGTAAAGCAAAGGATAACCAGGCTACGATCCACAACCCC